CTCGTAGCTGCCAGCGCCCTCCCCTTCCCTCCCCTACCCTACCCTACCCTACCCTACCTTACCCTAATTTACAGCAGCATCACGAAGTTCATCGGCGACGACTGCAGTACTACACCATGACGACATTGACCCAGCCCATTTGTGGTCAGCTAGGCGACGGTGTTGTAGATTTTCGCCTTCTACAGGTCGCGAAGGTTTATTGGCGGCGACTGCAGTACCACCATCGATTGCTTCGGGTGCCAAACCGTGCAGATCTACTGTGGGTGGACTTAATTAATCAACCATCTCCATGGCATTCTTTCTTACGATATGAAATTTTGCATCTGTAATCACTGTTTCTTTTGGGAGTTCATTAATCAATCTGGTGGTTGAAATTTTCCATGGACTTCATTAATCTATCTGGTGGTTGAAAATTTGGGAGTTTTTTGGTTTTTGATTCGTACTTTGCAGTCGGGTGCGGTGGTGTTTTTCTGTTGATTTGTTGGAGGTGGTGGTGTTGTCGTCGGAGGTGGCGGCGGCGGTGGTGATGACTGTGGCGACGGTGGTGATCGGGATCGATGGTGGGGTGCTTGTGGTGGTGTGGTGTGGTGAGGTGCGGGCGACAATTGTTTGAATCTATGTCGTCTTTCGTGACCAATTGGAGCCGCATAATGGACTAATTGTGACCGCATAATAGATTAACTGTGACCTTAAAATTCGACAATTTGTGACTAAAGATTAATCTGAGTCATGTGCAAAAAAATTTTGTAAGCTGTGCTATGATCATTTGAAAATAACCAGTGACTATGAACAAAATTCTAAGTTGTGACTTGTAACCTGAGTTATGACTTGAACTGTGACTTGTGACCTGAGATGTGACATGGACTGTAACTTGTGAATTGGACTGTGACCTAAGTTGTGATCTGGATTGTGATCTGGAATTGGAGCAGTCACCGGGAACGGTCACCGGAATAGTCATCGGAATCAGAATAGTCGCCGGAGAAATCACCGGAATCGGAGCACTTGTCGGAATGTCGCCGGAGTAGTCGTCGAAGCGATCGCCGGAGCGGTAGAGGTGGTGGAGGTGGGGGTGGGGGTG